TTTGAGTGTATGTATACTTTGATTTAGCAGTCTCATGTCTAAGAATATATCATATAGAAATCATACCATGAGAATACCAGATTTATCTAAAAGGGGTTTATTGCATCATTAACAATCACAGAACATAAAGAATAACCTAAATATCAGTGAGAAAATGGTTTAATGTATGTGCATCCATAGAATGAAATATTAGGCAGCCATTTTTAAAAAGAGGTAAATCTGGGTGTTTTACTCTGAAAAGAATTCCATGATAAATTGCTATGTGAAGAGGGAGAATGAATCATAGCCCAATATTAGCCTGATCCCATTTATCACTATATAATAATAACCCCTATGTGTATTTGAACATGTAAATAGGTATGTCTCTATACACCCATGAAAATTTTGGGAAGGACATATACCAACAGGGTAGAGGCAGGGATGGAGAGGCAACGAGAAAGACAGAAACGTTCATGGATGACCTATGAAAGAGCAGGGATGGGGATGGGAATCAATGGGGTGGGAAAGTGGTGAGCTGTGAGTATGGGGTACTCGGGATTAATGATCAGGAAGATGGAGATGTAGCTTAAGAGGCAGACAGGGTGATACATAAGGTTTTGTTGGCTAGGATAGGAGAAATTTGAGTCTAGCTGTATGCCGAAGGGAAAAAATACAAAAAACAAAAACTAATAATTGAAAGAGCACAGTAGTAGTGGAGGCAGTGAGAAATGGAATCAAGACAGGGTGATCCTCCTTTCTCTGGGGTTGCAGAGACTGAATGAAGTTAACAGAAACTTTACGAGGAGCTACAAGCAGATGGACCCTATGAGGGATAGGCAAGGCCAGAGGCAGAGAGTAGGGATGCAAATAGTGCTGTCGGAAATGGAAAAAAAAAAAAAAAAAAAAGGAAGACATTGGAAACTACTCTTGAATTGATTTAAGTGGGGAAAGATGGAAGACACTGAGGAAGGAAAAGACGTAAGACGTAAGTTCAGAGCCAGCTGAGATCAAGTATTCATTTGTAATGAAGCAAGTTGCCATTTCCTGAGTGTCCAGCAGCCCAGGGGAGGAGAAGGAATCCCGTGGGTTTGGGTCAGAATTAGAGGAGTTCCAGACTTAGTGACATTTAAAGAGCTGCCCAGGGGTCCCAAGCTGGGCCAGGAAAGCCCAAGCGATGCTGACAGCCTGAGAGAATATAAAGAACTGAATGTCTTCATAAGAGTTTTTTAAAAAATAAAGGCAGATACCCCAGGGGTAAGGAAATGACAGAAGTGGCGAAAGAGCAAGTTGGAGCCACAAGGGGGGTTGTCCTAGTTCCTTGCAGAAGAAATTCAGGCTCTAAGGGCCAAGGTGTAACCAAGGTGATGGGTGAGTATCATGCTATTGGTTTGTCTCAGGAGACTCTTAAGTCCCATGAGGGCAGAAATTATGCATCTCGCCTTCTTTACATCAGGGCTGAGTGCAGTCCCTGGCACATAAGAGACACACAGCAAACATTGGAGGGAACCAGCAGCTAGGGTAGGGTGGAAACTAAGGTCTTGGTGTTGAGGCATTCAGGCATCTCTAAGGTGAGGATGCTGGGCAGGCTTCACTGTTAGTCACTGAGGAAAATCACAGGAGACCCAGGTAAAGAGAAGTATAGAGACTTGTATTAAAATGATCAAGAATTCTGGGAAAACTTCTGGTTTTAGTTGATATTAATTTGTGTCCCTTACAAAAAAACAGTTCATATAAAAAGCCCTCAAGAACCAGGTAGACCTTTTAGGTTTGTTAGTTTTCATTGACATAATTTATAGTGACCCATTTATATTTCTCCAAGTCGCAATTCCCTAACAAGATGGCTCCTCATAGC